CACATCACCAATAGGAGGTGTGCAAGAGGCAGCTGATCAATGATTCTCTTTCATTGATGTTTCTAATTCCCTATCCCTCTCCTTTCTTCTCAGTAAAAAATCAATAAAATATATTTTTTAAAAAAGAATCAATGAATACATAAATAAGTGGAACAATCTTCTCTCTAAAATCAATCAATTAAAAATTTTAATTTTTTATTTTTTTTCTTTTTTAAAATTCTCACCTGAGGATATTTTTTATTGGTTTTTTAGAGGGGATGAAGAGAGGGGGAGAGACAGAGAGAGAGAAACATTGAAATGAGAGAGACACATTGATTGTCTGACTCCTCCTGCATGCACCCTGATCCAGCAGGGATCTAGCCTCCAACTGAGGTCCGTTCCCTTGACTGGACTCTGACTCTTCAGTCCCAAGGCCAACACTCTATCCACTGAGCCAAATTGAGTAGTGCTCAATAAAAATAAATAAAAAATTTAAAGAAGGCAGGGCTGGTATCAGTCTACATAGGCTTAATTCCTGCTTTTTTGCAGCTTGTCATCACTGACAAAGGAACTTAACAAGTTCATGGCCCTCAGCAGCAGTTTCCTTATCTAAAAAACTGAGCAATATTGACCTCCCAGGTATAATGTAAACATTCTTGTGTGACTATTCAATAATAAGAGCAAACACTTATGAAATATTGTTAAGTATCAGGCTTCGTTAGATATACTTTAAATAAATTATTTAATTTTCCAAACAACTTTAGGAGGTATAGAATTATATTATCCCCATTTTACATATTAGGAATATGAAGTGTAAAAGATTACACAGGTCATTCCAGTTCACACAATTAATAAGTGATGGAGCTTGCTTTCAGCACAAGTAGTCTGCTCCTAACCACTATATTGTAATACCATTATTAAATCAGTTAATAAATCTGGGCCTTCCAACCACATTAACTCCAATTCATCTCATTAAACTATGGACCCTATCTACTTTTAATGAAAGAGGAAAAAAATGATCACTTATTAACTTATAATAACAAAAAATGTACTAGCAGGATTTATTTATTGCTATTGATCTTAATTCGTCAGGAAAGCCAGGAAATGGTTATTATACCAACCTAGTCAACATTCAAGATGTTAAATATGTTAAACATATTCCAGCTCACTAAAAAACTATATGATTTTAAGAGTTATTCTAAGAAAACCCCAAGGTAATCTTAACCCTAAGTAAGGCTGGCTAATTCTTCACTTTTATGGCCAATTAAAAGGCTCTAGATGCACATTCAAAAATCACATTAAAACCAAAAAGTACATACAAGTTAACATGTAAGCAACAAACTATTGCTTATAAAAAAAAAAATGTAAAGCTCCATACCAGCTCATGGTTCTAGAATCTGAAACTTTGTGGGGAGCTCTGATTTCATAGTATTTCAGAGTCCTTTGAGGCCAGGAAAATACTATGGGGTAGAAGCCCCGATGGTCATCTCCTCCTTCTTCCTCCTCGCCTTCCCAACAAATAATCCCATGACAACATTACTTGGATTCTGACTTGACACATGCCAAGTCTTTGGAGACAACAAAGCCCTGCTCTAACAGAAGACCTGTGATACAGACAACTTGAATGAACACTCCTTCACAATCTATGTCCTTATTTTGAGAGAAAGCACACTTAACAAGGGCAGTATAAGGCTATGCTTTATTAATAATCAGTAAATAACTGATACCTATTAAAATATCAAGCCTTAGTTTGCTACATGTCATCAGCAAATAAATTACCTAGAGCTCTCATTTCTATCCTTGTGTGGAATATCTTTTTTTACACCATCTCCTCCCACTCATAGCTCCTGATGCTATATACCAAAACACCACATCCTGTTAATGGCATAACAACGGAAATAGTTCATCACCCCTGATCACTTTAAATTGCATTATGGCAAAGGGAGCTATGCATTTTATCATCCTTCTCCCTTAGCTCTGTCCCCACAATATTACCTAAGCCCACACCACAGGACCAGGTGGCACCACATGGTATAGACACTTTCATGCTTTATCACAGAGGCTTCATTGTACCACTCAACCACTACGTTTCCCCAAGAAAATGCTCAATGATTCGATCCACAGGCACGTACATACATTTTTACTACTTAACTGGAGCTAAAAATGGGCTTTGTGGATTATGGCTGGGAAAGGTTTGCATTTTTCAGACAACCCAAATTAGAAGATCATGTTGGTATGCAAGAGACATATACCAAATAAAGCAATCAATTTAACACTAAAAGCCTTTATCCGGGAGGGCATGGTTCACAACCATCTTTCTTTGTACAGCCTTTTCCCAGAGTTTAAAGCTTTGTTAGACTGCATTATCGCAGCGACTGCCAGAGCACCAAAATGAGGCGAATGGATGACAGGGAGCAGTCTGTACTTAATATCCCTAATTTGTAAATGATGAGACAGAAATAGCAACAACCGGTTTCTAAGCCAACTAAAGAGAAATAAACGGTGGAATTCTTGCTGATTGGAAAAAGTCCTTTCCCATTAGCAGCAGGCATGAACTGCTCTGTAATGTGCATGCGCTTTTCCGGGGAGTCCTGGGGAAGCAAACACAGGTCAGAGGCATCACTGGCCTTCTGTAGCAAGCTGGCTCCTCTCTTCAGGTGCCTCTTCCTTATTCCATGCCAACCACTAGATACCAAGTCCAACCTGAAGAGCCAATGAATAGTCGAACTATTTTCAGGAGGATAGTAAGTCGATAGAGATGGTCCCTCTGAAAAGAGTAAAATGTGCTACTCTGATCATATTTTCTGACCTATGACTTTAAAGCTTTTTCCTTAACAGGTGAAATATAAATAACATTCAGATGAGAGAGCAAACACATTTCTAGCCTCTACCATTTCTAGGTTAAGAAGGTGAGAAAAGTATGTATTTCCCAATCCCACCAATGTTCTAACCATTTTCCCCGAAGGTAATGAATATAAATCATAGGGTTGGAAAACTGCCTGCTGGCATCCACAAAGAGAAGGTTTCCAAGCATCAAATTTCTCCCAACCTGGTTGAAACTATTTCTCCATACCAATCTCCCAACCTCAAAATAAAACAACTTCCTTTCTTGTGCAGTGGTTTTCTGTCCAGTGAGTTAATCAACTCTTGCATGCTCATAAATGATTACACAAGAGAATTTAAATGTAATTTTTCAAAAAGATAAAATCTAAGCAAACCAAAATAAATCATGGTTCAATGACTTGTTAAAAACAAAAGTCTCATTGAGCACTGGCTGGGTGGCTCTGCTGGTTAGAGCCGTGGTCGGCAAACTGCGGCTCGTGAGCCACATGCGGCTCCTTGGCCCCTTGAGGGTGGCTCTTTCACAAAATGCCATGGCCTGGGCGAGTCTATTTTGAAGCAGTGGTGTTAGAAGAAGTTTAAGTTTAAAAAATTTGGCTCTCAAAAGAAATTTCAATAGTTGTACTATTGCTATTTGGCTGTTGACTAATGACCATTAGAGCATTACTTAGCATATTGTTAAATTATGGGTTCAATCCCCAGACACATATAAGAAGCAACCAATGATTGTATAAACAAAGTGGAACAACAGAATGATCTATATGTATGAAAGCTTAAGTGGTTGCTATGACCCACACTGACCACCAGGGGCAGACGCACAATGTAGGATCAGCCCCCTGGTGGTCAGTGCACTGCCATGGCCAACCTCCTAGGTCCCTTCCCCCCTGCTGGCCAACCTCCACAGCCCCTCCCCCTGCCCAGCTGATGAACCTTCCATGGCCACCCCCTGCCCCCTGCTGGCCAGCCCTGATAAGGCCTGGGCAAGATGCCATTATGGGCCCTAATTGCTGGCCAGGCCAAGGGACCCTTCCAGTGCACAATTCCGTACACAGGGCCTCTAGAATATTTATATTTGTTTCTCTTTCTCAAATCATTTTTTTAATGGGGAAGAAAGCACAAAGCTTTCATTGAATATGACCAATAAAGCTGTTATCTTTGTCCTCAGAGAGTCAATATTTCAAGAGTTATGAAAGGACCTTATTCAAAAGGGAACAGCTACCTCTCCATCATTACCTGTTAGATCCAGGCCAGCATCTGGCCAACAGGTGGCAGGCATTTAGTTTTACTTCAGAAATTTAAATTTTGCAAGGTCACACTTTTTACATTTTAGGAACAACCCATTATTCCGTAGAGGGGGAAAGTGTTTCTTTTCTAGAACAAATGTAGTATTTATGGAAATCCAAAACCTGATATACAGTCATCTTCTAAATTATAAGTACCTAGCTTAAATCTACTCATTCCCGAATATCATCAGGTAGCACACTACCTATTGCTCTTTCCACTCACTACTCACCCTGTACCTCATGGCTACTGTTGAAGGGCAACTAAGCTGCTCTGGGTCACAGTGTCACCTGGTAGTTACCACGCCAAATTGTCTGACCTAGAGTTTCTTTGTGGACTTGAGCACACTTGCCTGCAAGTCATGGTTCATATGCTATTAGTACTCCTTATATGTTTATTATCTTGAACACCTCATACTCTCTTTAAACCACTGATTCTCAAGGTAGGAAGCAAAAGGAAAGGAGATGGAAAATACAAGGAAATGTTTATAAATGGATAAGAGCAACTTTGCTCTGGCTGGTCTTGCTCAGTGGATAGAGCATCTGCCTGCAGACAGAAGGGTCCCAGGTTTGATTCCAGTCAAGGGCATATGCCTGGGTTTCGGGCTCAATCCCCTGTGAGGGGTGTGCAAGAGGCAGCCGATCCATGATTCTCTCTCACCACTGATGTTTCTATCTCTCTCTCCATCTCCCTTCCTCTCTGAAATCAACAAAAAATATATTTTAAAAAAAATACTCTTCAAGAGTATTGAAATTAAATCACTTGATGGCAAGGTCTCAATCTGACATAGCTTCAATCTACCAAACTTTTCATCAGTAGAAAATAAAACATTTACACCTTTACTTTTCCCATTCTCCTCATTCATTCTGTCTTAACCATAAAACATGTAGTTAATATACCGAGTATGTTAGCAGTGCACTGAAGAATTCCCGAGATGTCCTCGATTTCCTCTTTGCTGGAATGGTCCGCATAGGAGCATCTGTTAGAGATATTGTGGAAATTCTTTTCTGCATCCCTGTAACTAAGAAGAAAACAAAATCAGCATATGGAAAAAAATGTCAAAGCATCTGCATCTGCGAATGCACTCATATACATATGCACCAATGCACGTGGTCTGTGCTCTCAGCATAATCACATTTTAAAATAACTGACCCTTTAAGACGTAGTTTATGACATTACCCACCATTAACATCAGCATTAGCAGAGTGGACCTGGAACTGGAGACAATCACTAATAAGGAAGCTATGTTTTGGGGGGGGAAATAATAATAATAAATGAGGAAAACCAGAAGATAGATGAGCTTTATGTAACTAAAATGTCCTTATGTGCATGTTTCAAAGCTGCTGGCAATTGCTTCTATACAGAACTTGCCTAGAAAAAGAATTAACACCACTAATTTAGTACATTGGCACCAACTGTGTTGAAAGCAAATACGTCTTAACCTCTATCACAGACAGTCAGGAAGACAGCGTGGTGCTTGGATAATAAGCAAACAAATTGGAGGCTGACAGAATTTCAATCACGGTCTCACCATTTTCTTTTTAAATTAACAAAATCAATATGTGACATTAATATTAGTTTCAGGTATCCAACAGGGTTATTCAACATTAATATATGTAACAAAGTGGTCATCAGGCTACGTCCAGCAACCATCTGTCATCACCCAAGGTTGATTGGATATTATTGACTAGATTCCCTACGCTGCATACACAGCCCTGTGACTTATTTTATAACTGAAACAGTGTACGTCTTGTGCCCCTTCACGTTCTTTACCATTTTCTACCTGTGAGAATGGGGGCAAGTAACCTCACCTCTGTTGTCTAACTTTCCTTCCTCATAAAATGGAGATGCTTCCTAGGGTTCTTGTGCAGACGGCATGACAGAATGCTGTCACCAGATGTTGACTGGAACTTCTCCAGCTGCTCTGACTTAGAACAAAGGCACCAAGTCTCCCATGTTCTAAAAGAGAAGCCAAGAAGGCCAGACATCTCCAGAACCTCCGAAATGACTAAAAAGCCACTGCCAGTGTCACCCACGGCCACCTGACAGGAGCGAAGAGATATGCAAAGATGGAAAGGAAATCCTCAGAAGAGCCACTGGTCCACTGGCCTAGAAAGAGAGCTTTTCCCCTCCCCCCATGAGAAAAGGAGAGCAGGGGCATGCTCCCTGCGGAAGCCCAGCTGCTGAGAGAGTTTGGGGCTTGAATGTCTCACTCCTCAGTGGACATCTGCTGAGGAATTCTGGACCATCCCTTTGTGCCACTCTGAGCAGAGAAAGAAGTTTCTGGAGAGAGTTACAACAGGGAAAAGAAAGAGCCAAACTGGGAACAGCCTGTAGTCATGACTGATGTTCCATCCACTGTTTTCCAGGCTGGGGCAGGAATCCCACTAGCAAGACTGAGTGAGGGGTTCAGGCCACAGGTCCAGGGCAGGGGCCTCTGAAGCAAAGCGGGCCCATCCATGCACCTCACTGAGAACTTCACAGCCAAGAAGGGATTATTGCAGCAACCAGTGAGGTTTTCCTGTCCATTCTCACCTGACACCTCACATCGGAAGAGAAGGGACCTAGAAAGGAGTGGCCTGGAGGGTGGGAGTGAACAGCCACATCACATCCCCTCTGCACTGCTTTGGGAGTTTCTCAGGCCAAGAGGGCCCAGGCACAGAGGGTATAAGAGTGAGATGGGACGTGAGATTAAAGATTTCAATTGGTCTGAAGTGGACTTTAAATTCCCTGAATGTACTTGGAAAACAGTGACGTGCCCAAGCTGACATTGAAGGGGACTCATGCTAACATGTTTGATGTGATTGGAGAGAAAAGGTAAAATGGCTTAGTGATTGTACACCTTACTGAGATCTGACTCCAAAAAACAGTTAGGCAAAATGCTTTCTACAGTTTCTAGAAGACAGTATTCAGTCAATAAAAGGTGGAAAGGGGAACATGGGTGTTAAACAGAGACAAAGAAAGTATTATGTTTAAATCAAGTGCCACCATTTTCAAATATTTTTGTCACAGTCCCGATTTATTCAACTGTACAATGATTCTATGAAATAGGTAGTTAGGACTAAATAAAATAACAGATGTAAAGTGCCCCATGTATTGCCTCACACGTAGGGAGCAATCAATAGCTATTAGCTTTCATCTAACTTCCTGTTTTTATTCCATAAGATAATTATATTTTGTAAATACATAAAAATACTAGATCATGTTTTAGATTAAAAAAATCTACAACCACAAAAACCTAACTATGGAATTACATTAGTAATACCATTGACGTTTGTTTCCAATATAATCAGAATTCACCCACTCCTAATTTTACTTCTAATGTTCTTTTGAAATTATTCTAGCTTAATCCCCATCCAATTGTCAAAAGAAAAAGAGAACAGAAGGTTGGCTGTATAAAACAAACACAGAGCCCACAGTGATGATTGGAGTAATAGAATTTAATTTTAGATGACTATAGGAAATGGCATTCCAGGCCAATATGAGGTTGGCAGCAATCCTACCCAGGGTATTAGCACAATGATACTAATTCTGGCAAAAGAAAAAAAAAAGTTAATGACATCATTCTAAATACATATTTCTTTGTACTTTCATGTTAAAATGTATAATGAATGAACATAAAAATTCCAAAAGATTATCATGTGTTTTTTAATCATAGTGTTAAAGAAATCTCTGCTTTGTCTACACTGTCATAGTAACCTGCTTTTGTGAGCTACAGACCAGTAAGAGTAATGCAGTATAAACATGAGTGACAGTAGTTGGGTTAGGCACTCCAGAGGCAGAAATTTAGGTTTAAAAAAAAAGAATCCAAAATCTGTAAGAATAAAGTGGTAACTAGAACAGAAGGGGGGCATGCTTATGTTTAGCTCCTGATGCTAACCAACTGATTCCAAACTTTAAAGGCTCATGGAAGACAGGGAAAGGGTGGAGCAGGAGAGCCCCGGGAAGGACAATCCATAAAAATTGAGGTGCATAGGAGTCAGGTACTAATCGTGGTAATAATTCAACAAATGTATTGATTATCCTTGTGTACCAGGTATTGTACTACTTTATACGATTACATGTCTTAACACATTATTATCATTAATATTTTATTCAAAATTTACCCAACCCTGTAATTATTACCCTTTTAAAAATAAGAAAAGCAAGGCTCAGAATGCCTTGCTTTAATAATCCATCCAGGATCAAAGGTAGAATCTGACTTTTAAGTCTAATGTATCTATTATAGTATATCTGCTTCCGAAGCACATTTTTTCAGTCCCTGCTCTATACTACATAGCAAGGATGCACAGAGAGAAGGAAGGGCAGATGACAGCATCAAGAATGGCATTAGACACAATTGTCATTGTAAAGCAGATGTTCCTCCATCCTGACTTCCCTTTTGTTCCCAGGGGAACCCTAGTATCTCCTCCTTACCCCTTTTCTTCTCAGTATTCTTCCCACCCAACACTGCCCCAAAACCTAGTCCATGCCTAGAGGCTCGAGTTAAAGCAGCACAAGCATGTACACTCAATGCTCCCGTTTCTCATTCTAGGTTGAGGGAGGAGAAGACAACTAGGCTATACAAACAAGAAGCTATTCAAGTGAGCATTCTTCTGTAGAATTCATATAGTAATCAAAAGGTACCATAAAATCAATCTGACACACAGTGGCAGAACATTAAGTGTTAATGGAAAACTATGCAAATAAATCAATGTAATCTATAATAAAAGCGTAATATGCTTATTAGACCAGACAGCCAAACGACCTTTCGGATGTCATTCTGGATGTCCTTCCAGAAGAAGCTGCAGCAGCAGAGAGCCAAGGCAAAGGTGGTTAGGGACAATCAGGCAGGCAGGCTAGCAGTTAGGAGCTATCAGGCAAGCAAGCGAGTGGTTAGGGGTGATCAGGCAGACAGGTGAGCAGTTAGGGGCAATCAGGCAGGGAAGCAGGTTGGTGAGAGGTGATCAGGTAAGCAGGCAGGTGAACAGTTAGGACCCAGCAATCCTGGATTGCAAGAGGGTGCAGGCTGGGCTGAGGGACTCCACCCTCCCAACCCCTTCACCCCCTGTGCATGAATTTTGTGTACTGGATCTCTAGTTTAGCTACAAAGAAAAGGGTCCTGGGTACTAGCACTATAATTTTATAATTCTTTTGGGCTCACCCCTCATTTTACACCCCCTTCCCAAGCATAATTCACTCTTTCATCCATTATATAAGAATTTGAGTTCATACCCCTAGGATGCAACTTATTTATTTATTCACACTTCCTCACTGCTCCCCCCCAAAAAAAATTGTTAGTCCCTGCTATGTACCAAGCATTTACAAAAGTACAGAAATATAAAAGTAAGATAAATAACCAAATAATAAAATAAGTGAGATCATATAAGCTAATGATAAGCACTATGAAAAGGAATAATGAAGAGTAAAACAAAAAGAATGATCAGAGTTGGAGGCTGAGATAGGGGATGGAGGGCCACTTTAGATTAGGTGATCAGGGAAGGTCCTTCGGAAGGCATTATATTTAAACAGACATCTAAATGTATAAGAAGAATAATCTACACAAACACCTGGATACAAAGCATCACAGGAAAAGGAAACAGTGCATGCAAAGGCCTGGAGGTTGAGCAAGCTTGGTATAGTTGAGATACCAACAGGCGGTTGGAAGCTGGAGTGGAGTGAAATAGGGGGAGTGGAAGGGGATGAAATCAGAGAGGTACGCAGAGGACAGGTCACAGGAAGAATTCGGATTATATCTGATCACAGTCAGTCTTGATACGGTTCAACACCAGGATTTCGAAGTGTGAACCCTGGACCTGAAGCATCAGCATAATCTGGGAACTTAGACATGCCAACTCCTTTTGCTGAGTTATAATAAATAAGACCTCCATATTGGGATCTCACCTAAAAAAAATGTATGAATTGATGCTGTGATACAATAAAAACAAGGCAGTGTGACAAAAACAAAGTAGGGTGTTTGTATGTGTCTATGTTTTATTCAGACACAAGTGATTAATAAATTTGAATTGTATTTCAAATAAAAATTTTAAGAATGCCAATTCTTGAGCCTCTCCCAGACAGTCTGATGGGGAACGGTGGAGGCGGGGCCCAGCAATCTGAGTTTCAGCAAGTCTGACAGGTGATTCTAACACCCGTTAACACTTGAGAACCACTGGGCTAAAGGAAATGGTATGACCTAACTTTTTCATCATTTGGCTGCGGTGAGAATATAGTGTTAAGGGACGGGAGTGGATACCAAAAAGCTAAATGGGAATCTCTAAGTGAGAGAGGATGGTGACAATGGAGAGGAAGAGATTTATCACATCACATGAATAAATTATTTTAGTGCTCATTTTCCAACTTGAATGATATCTATGAATGAATAAATGAACAAGTGAATGGATGAGTTAAGGAGCAGAACAAACGTTTAAAGATAAAGTTGCTGAGCTGCAGAGAGGCTATCTTACTGCCTAATGAGAAGCTCCATCCTCTACTCCCTCCTAACCCTCCATCTGTGTGATCCTTTGAACAGCTGCTCCCTGCGTCCAAGTCTAGGTCTTGGAGACTAAAAATGCCTCTGAGAATGTCTGTAGGCTACTGGCATATGAATTCATCAAGAGGCAGAATCATGGAGTCTAATAAATAAAGCAGATCCAAGGGCAGAGCTTTAAAGGAGAGGAAAGGGAGCGTGGGAAAGTCAGTGGTTAGAGGCTGGATTAAGAAATTGAGGACTAGCTCCTACTCCCTGCAATCCCTCTGTATTCATCATCCCAACCCCCAGGGCACCTATAAACCGCATTACCTCAAGACAAGCCTTAGGCAAAGCCCCCTTTTAGGCATTAGGAAAAGCATCCATTCCCCACTGGAACCTCCCCAGGAATATGTAAAACAATGCTTGTCAGCACTTGCTACCTGAAATTCCTTTCACTAAAAAAGAAAAGAAAAAGAAAACATTTCTTTTCATAGTTAGAGATAAAAAGCCTTCATTTGTATTGTCTTAAGAGGAACAACACCTTGATGTGAATACATGTAAATCCAAATGTTAGTAGTAACAGATGCCCTCCTTTTTCAGTGCTGAAAAGAGAAAGGAAGGGGAAAGAAGTCTAAAAGGCAAAGGAGAGCTTTGGACATGGAAGCCAGGACTGAAGGAAAAGGAGAAAGTCAAGAAAAGGAAATATAACACTATTCTGCCAACTTGTCCTTTTCTGTCTTCATCCTTCATCGGCATGAGTACAAATACAGGCAGTGAGCAAAGGCACTTCAAATCCTCAGAAGGCAGCCAACACCCAAGTAAGAAGTATGCTAACAGGTCTATTTGGAACCAGTCCAACTTCAGGACACCTCTTTATATTGGAGTCACATTCCCTGTCTGTTTTCATTATTTGGTGTCTGCATTAAACAGAACTAGAAAGGACCATTTAGGTACCGAACAAAGAACCACCACAGGCTATTTCTACACAGAAGGAGAGAAGGGAGAGTTGAGGCTGTAACTTATATGAAAGACAACTCCATCTTAAAAACAAAATATGAATTTTCAGCTGGTTATGGTAATATAGTCTAGTTATCTAGATGATCAAATTTACAAGATTCCAATTGGCCTAGAAGACATAATTTAGTTCACAAATGGGACTATTTCATCAGTTATTATTAGGTTTCACATCAGAAAGGACATTCATAACTCCATAAGATAATTTGCATTTGATTACTAACATTGTTATAAAATATTAATAATGATGATGGTAATAAACCTAAGAGCAAATATGTAGTACTTACCATATACCAGGAACTGATCTAAGAATATTGGCAAATTTAACCCAACACCATACTTAGAAAGCAGCATATCCAATGAGAGTAATTAAGTTTTATTTAGAATGTGTGGAGAGAGATTAATTTGACATTCTTACATTCTTTATCTCCATTAGGTTAAACCATTTAAAATCCCTAATGGCCTCAAACTAAAAGCCATCTTGTGAGTTTAAATAATTCGTTTTTCCCAGCAAGGCACTCTTGAGGATTGGTATGACAAAGTTTCAAAGCAATTCCCTTTGAAATGACAACATAATCATCAGGCACTTCAAGTATATAGCATCATACTAGGTACTGTGGTGTTTTTTTCCTATTAAGTTTTCTTCCTTTTTGTTTATAAAAATTATGTAACATCTTAATAGGAAAAAAAATTATATATATATATATATATATATATATATATATATATATATATATATCCTTGAGACTCATGGCAATGACTAGTAACAATAAATGTTCAATGATTCCAAAAGCATGTCAAGAGGTATCAGGATTTGAATCTTAATACCTCAATAGTCCTTTAAAAACTTTTACAAAGAAAAATCATGGTAGCACATAGAGAATATTAACAAGGTAAATTAAAAATATGCCTTCCTAATGCCGATGAATTTAAATAGCTAGATTTCATCAGAAAGTAAATTTAGGATTTTGTATTTTCCAATTGCTTTCTGTAACAGACAATAAAAGGTCATATGTGGAGTCTAATGAACAAAATAAATAGATGAACAAAATAGATCCAGAGACATAGAAGTATGGGATAGATTGAGGAGGGGTGGTGATTAACCGAAGAACTTACATGCATATATGTATAACCCATGAACACAAACAAGAGTGTGGTGAAGACCTGGGAGTGGGGAGGCAGGGTGAAGGGAGTTAATGGGGGGAGGAGGGAAGAGGATATTTATAATAAGTTCAACAATAAAGATAAAACTTTTTTCAAAGAGAGGGGAAAAGAGGAAGGGGAAAAAAAGGTATGTCTTTCATTCATTTGGAGCTTTCTATTTACAAAATACTTTCATTGAAATTATCTCATATAATAATGACATCTAATCCTTGCTTTAGTTATTATTATCATCACCTTCTACAAAAGAGACAGTTACTTAAAAGTTCGATGCATCCCTGAAATGTTTTTTGGCCTCAAGTCTTACTATACACCATATCACAATGATGTCAACAAATGGGGCATAAAAATGAAAAATGCGGCATGTGACTCTAGCTAAAATAATACCTCTTACTGAACTGTATTAAACTTGTAATGATTTTGAGTAAACTTTACTGAAGGATTAAAGCATCTCAGTTGGTACATCTTAGCACATTTCTAAGGCAAAATTATGAGATGAAATGAAATGGATGAAAATGAGATAAAAACAAACAAAAAAAGAAGAAAAGAAGAAAAAAAGCACAAGAAGAAAAAATAAAAAGTAATACCAAAGGGAATTTTACTTAAAAGGATTAAACACAAATAAGCCTAAGGCAGTCATTCCGGGGTCTCTGCATGAGCCACCCTTCACACTGAGCGCACACCCCTATGAAATAAGGCTGACCTGATGGCAGAAAACTGCATCTCAACGGCTATGTTTGAGCAATTATCTTTCATTTGCCCAGGAATGACCAACATCCATTTTTACTTACCCAATAACTTGGTGCTCATAATACTGCAATGTCCTCTTGAGAGTCTGCTGAATCGTCTGAGGCTACAGAATAATAATAATAACAATAATAATAAATTATCAGCAAATCAGTGCCATTCCCATTCTGAGCATCATAGGCAGACATGTAGCTTCTGATTTTTCTCATAAGAGGTTTTTCTTTATAATATTAACCCATGATGCCTTCTGCCATGTATTTTCCCCACAGGAACTAATGTGAGGCACTCAGTAATTACCCAGGATTTCCCAATTTCAAATACAATAGCATTTCCTGGCCATATTTTTCCCAATTATTTTGTGTCGGCTATTAAGATCAATAAAACACTCGCTGGCTGCCTAAAATAAACCTAGGCCCCAGGGGCAGTGGGAGAGGATGTACTGAAGATTCATGGGTCATACACAGGGCAAGCCTGACTTCCTTACCATCCAAGAGATTCTAAGCAAAAGTTCTGAAGCCTCGTAGGGGGATCACAAGTGCTTGGGGCAAGAAATCGGGTCTGAAGCAAATACCTAAATGGCTCAAGACCAAATTTTATAATCCTCTCCTCTCCATGCCAGCTGAAAATAGAGTTTCTTAAGCTCAGATCCAAAAATGATTCTTAGACTTATTTAGGCAACAGAGCCTAAACTTGGCATTTCAGATCTATGGAGCCATAAAAGTGACACTAAGATCCTAGAACATATATTTTATTAACAAACCAAGATAAAAACCAAATTTTCAGTGTCAAATTTTAAAATAGTAAAATGTTGCAGTCAATCAAGCGGAAACAAGCTATCAAATGTTTATCAAAATATTGATCCATTATAGCGATGGATGAATTTTAGGGGAATATCATGACTCTGACACAGACTCTTCAAGATGTTAAGACAGCAAGGTAGTTAGATGACGCCGTGGGCTCCCACTAACTAAACTTCAAAACCTAGAGAAGTCTAAAAGTGTGCTCAAAGGACTTAGCACTGTACTGGTACCTAAGAAGCAATTCAGAAATATCAACTTATTTCCCATCCCTAAGCTTTCAAAGTGGCCATCTCAATAATCCTTAATTCAGAAGAGACTACGAAGGTTGCTGTCAAGGTCCACTTGAACCCCCTCCATGGTAACCTTGTTATGAAAACATCCAGGATAGATATAATTATCTCCCGAACACTCTTAAAAGCATCAACATCCTCCTTCATAGGAATGGCTGTGTGAAAGCTAGGGGGAAAAAATGTGAACTTCAATTAAATCAAAAGCATCCACTGAGATGTTCTACACTGTCACTTAGGAGAACCCTCACCCTGAGCAAATCAAAGGCCTCACACACGATCTTCACCCTGTCAAGCCAAATCGGAAATCAATTTTAGAAGGAATCAGACTCTGAGTATCTACAGGGCAACTTCTTTAAATGGCTTTTTTTCATTTACAGTAGGTTAAAAAAAAAAAAGATGAATATGAGGCTTCAGACTGGCACAGATGTTTCTACTCATCAGGACAGAATCAAAGCAGAGTAAATAAAGATGTGTCTAGGAGAGAAAAATCACTCCTGAACCAAGAAGCAATGGAACTGCTGAGAAATCTAGGGAGGATGAAGCAGACACAGCAATCCTGGAGCACAGGAAAAGCGTGCTTTAAAAATCCACCCCACAGCCAACCTTCACCAAGTCATTATCAGTCACTGGCTCAGTACCCCTGGGAGCTGGGCCTCTTGCACTGGTTTGGCAGTTTCTGAGCTAAGATAACTTTTTCTTGGCAACACACCCTAAAAGCAGTTAATATCCACAAGGGGATTTATCCTCCCAATAACCTCTGGTCCCAAAACATGGGACAGAAAGCAGGAACTAAAAAGTGCACAGGGCCTTTTAAGACCAGAATGACCTCATTTTTAATAAGGACATTTTTTTGTCCCAGTATCAAGAATTTCCCAGGTTTTAAAAAGTGCATATTTGTGAAAGGAGTTAAGTCTTCTAAAGAGTTGACTGTTTTTCTTATGTGAAGCAATTACTTTTTACTCCCCAGCAGGAGATAAACTTATAGTTCCCAAATACATTAAAAGGAAAATGTTCTCTGAGCACATGGAACGAAGCTTAAACTTGCTAGATCATTCATGTACTTCCTGTTGCTTGTCAGGCCAGTGGACACATTCTGATGGTCTAAGCTACAAGCTTGGAGGACAACTGCAGAGTAGCCCCTAATCTTTAACAAGCCAAGGATGACTTCAATATAAACCTGATTCCTCTGAGTGTCTAATCTCAGGGAATTCACTGGAATTTTCTCCAGTGTTTGCCTAATTGCTCAACCCATGGCTTTATCGGTGAGAGACAGACATCCTCATATAACTCGGGGTCTCTCTAATCTAAATAAAAAAGCATGAAGTGAAGACCCACATGTGAGCTTTCATAGGCTGACTTCTGCCTTGACAGTCATAGGGTCCATTTATTAAGAGTCTATGTATGTTTGGCTCAGTGGATAGTGTTGGCCTGTGGACCAAAGGATCCCAGATTCTATTCCAGTCAAAGGAACATGCCCAGGTTGGGGCCTCAATCTCCAGTAGGGGGCATGCACAAGGCAGCCAATCAATGATTCTCTCTTATCACTGATGTTTCTATCTTTCACTCTTCCTTCCTCTAGGAAATAAAGAAATATATATTTAATAAAAATAAAAAAAAAGAGTCAGTGGAGAAATCGAGATAGCAGCATAGGTAAACACCTAAACTGCTGCCTTGCACAACGATTTCAAAACTCTAACTAAAAGACAAAAGGAACATCATCCAGAACCACAGGAAGGCTGGCTGAGTGGAAATTCTACAACTAGAAGGAAAGAGAAATGCACACTGAGATTCAGAGGAGCTGCAGGAGGCAGAGGTTCTAAGATGCGTGTGTGGAGAGGACTGGCAACTGAGCTGGCTTTTTCAAGCGAGAGGGAGACAAAAGCTCAGGACTGTGCTGAACTCCAGTTCCAGGCAAGACTCTGGGGACCCAGACTTATTCGGGGGGAGAGGGGGTGGAATTGGACTGTCTGGCAGTGGGTGGAACTTGAGAGCGGCTTCTCTCAGAGGTGCTTGCAGTGATTACCACAGGACACTGAGACACAGGGGCCTATTAGGTTAGGGCTAAAGGGAAACCAGTGCTGTCTGCTCCATTCTGAGACTCTGTCCCATCCAAGCTGAGCACGGAAGCGTTTGCAGCTCTTGTCTCATAAGGGTTCTCCAGCACAAAAGTTTTCCCAGTGTAGACACAGCTGATCCTTACAGCCAATTGGCCTGGAGGTCAATTCCTCCCAGTGATACCAACAACAAAAAAGCCTAATTACAACAAGACTATGCACACAACCCACAAAGGAGTGCACCAAGAGTGTCCACCTCAGGTAACTATGGAGGCTGAGCCACTGGACCCTATAAGACACCTAGCACACAAAGCCACTCTATCAACTTAAGGGAAGCAGCCAAAATATGGAGACAAAGAAACAGGTCACAAATGAAAGAAATGGAGAAAAGCAAATGACTGGATATAGAGTTCAAAACCATGGTAATAAGTTTTTTCAATAATTTACTAGGAAAGGCCAATAATTTAGTGAAACCCTTGAGGATATGAAAAAGGACCAACTAGAAATTGAGCATACACTGAAATAAAAAATAATATACAGAGATCAAACAGCAGACTAGAAAATCACAAGAATCAAGTCAAAGATTTGAATTACAAAGAAGCAAAAAATACTCAACCAAAAAAGCAAAAAGAAAGAAGAATCCAAAAATATGAAGATAGTGTAAAGAGCCTCTAGGACAACTTCAAGTGTACCAACATCAGAATTATGGGGGTGCGAGAAGAAGAGCTAGAACAAGATACTGAAAACCTATTTGAAGAAATAATGACTGAAAACTTCCCTAACCTGGTGAAAGAAATAGACTTATAAGTCCAGGAAGCACACAGAACCCCAAACAAAAGGAATCCAGAGAGGACCACACCAAGACACATCATAATTAAAATCCCAAGAGCAAAAGACAAAGAGAGAATATTAAAAGCAGTTCGTTACCTACAATGGAGCACCCATATGACTGTCAGATGATTTCTCAACAGACACTATGCAGGCCAGATGGAAATGGCAAGAAATATTCAAAGTGATAAATAGCAAGAACCAACAACCAAGATTACTCTACCCAGCAAAGCTATCATTCAGAATTGAAGGTCAGATAAAGAGCTTCACAGATAAGAAAAAGCTAACGGAGTTCAACACCACCAAACCAGTATTATATGAAATGCTGAAAGGTATCCTTTAATTAGAGGAAGAAGAAGAAAAAGGTAAAGATAAAAATTATAAACAACAAATACATAACTATCAATAAGTGAATCTAAAAATCAATTAAATAAAAAAATCTGATGAACAGAATAAACTGATGAATATAATAGAATCAGGGGCATAGAAAGGGAGTGGACTGACAATTCTCAGGGGGAAAAGGGTGTGGGGTGTGCAGGAAGAGACTGTATAAAAATTGTACACCTATGGACGAGGACAGTGGGGCAGCGGGGTGGGGGGTAAAGGCAGAGGGTGGGGTGGGAATCAGGTGGAGGGGGGCTATGGGTGGAAAAAGAGAAACAATTGTAATAATCTGAATAATAAAGATTTATTAATTTTTTTAAAGAGTCTATATATGTCAGTGATGCAAATCAGTGTAACTTAATGGGAAAAGCAAGGGCTATAAAAATCTACAGACTTTCTAGTATTCTTTTCCTTAAGAATGCAACTCCATACCTGTTCTCTATTTTACAGTCCCATCTAACTTTCTAAAGGGTGAGATTCTGTTTTTCTCATCTGTACCTTTCCTTTTCTTCAAGAAGGAGTTTGGAAAGATGATTTTGAAAAGAGAATTTAGGATCAAATTGAGTTTAAAATCCAGCTCAATAGCTAGGGCAATTTATTTAAGTCTCTGAAATATGATTTTTTATGTATACATTATTTGTATATGAACTAATTGAAATACTTAAAGCAAAGTCTCTGGTGCACAGTAGGTACATAATAAATACTGGCTGTCACCATATCGGCTAGGAAACATGGCTCCTGCTCTGAAAG